ATTATTTTCTATTTAATTTTAATTTTTTTTGTTTTTTACAAATATGTGAAATTGCAGTTGACTAACTTATTATGCCGTTATTCATGAAATGACATTTTTTTTAAAGGTTACTGTTTTTAGATTTCATTAAACTTTTGCTAAGAGGTAATATTATCAATAGAAAATTTATTTTTGTTTTTTTAATTATTATTACTGTTTACGTTAATTTATATGCTTTATGTACTTGCACTATGTTAAAGTTTAACTATTGTATTGAAATTTGCTTAGTTTTGCATACTTGCTATTTAACATTTACTATATGTATGTATGTTGTTGTTGTAATTCAATTAATGGGTTAATTAGTTATTGCAAATATTCTCGGTGCCACTTTATGTATTATCGATTATCGATAACTTACTGTCATAAATGGTGAATTATATTTACTAGTTTACAACTGTATTAAAAATTTAATTATTTATATACTCTAAATATGTATACATACATATAACTATGTATGTATGTATGTAGCATTGCCTGTCCATCAATTTGTCGCGCTTCACTTGTCTACTTTTAAGTTTTATGCAATTTTAATTTTATTATGCAATTGGTGGTAATGGTGGGTAAGAATATTTTCACATTACGGTTACTAAACTTTAAACCGCTACAGCGTGTCGCCACAAAATGTTGCTACTTTTTGTTGCTTCACTGCTCGATACTCAATGACAAAAACAAAAATTGTTTATAATAATAAATTTAGCCAGCTCGAAAGCATCTCGCAACTGCTTATCACTTAATACAGTTATTTATATGTATGTACAAAATGTATGCTATATAACTAACTATATATATGTATCTTGCACTACTTTTCTTACACAACTGCTAATTACTTACAACAAACACTGTGCACGAAAATCAAATTATGTCACAAAAACAATTGGAACATAAACGAAAAATTCGCCAACAGTTATTTGTGGTATTTACGCAAATAGCTAAACTGAATTATGGGCTGACTTATGTTCACATACATATGCATATTTCTGCGTTTGTAGGCATGTATGTGTGTCAGTGTGTGTGTGTGTGTGTGTATAAGCATTTGTTTATAAAACTTGTTCATGAATTTGCTTAAAATTGGTAATTGTTGTTGCTTAGCCTTAATTACATCTAACTGTTGCATGTGTGTGTGTGTGTGTGTGTGGTAAACTTACATTGTATTGAGGAGTAAATTTAAAAACTACGAATAGGTTTGACATTTGGACAAAGGGAATACTTGAACTCGCTTTTGAGGATTCTCTTGCACGCATTCGCCAGAAATTGAACCAGCCATAATGCAGTGGTGCGACATTTGCATGCAGCTTGAAATCGCTAACTAAGCTTGGCATGTGGTTTGGAGTGTTAGTGGTATTTTTGATTTTATGAAGAGAGAACCTGCTGAATAAAGTGTCGGTCGTCCGGGACAAACAAACCAAAAAAAAACACAGAAAATCGCAAAAAATTAAAAGTTCTAAACTACTTGCAACAAGTTGCACGAAAAAAATTACGTTAATATTCAAAATCACAGTCACTGCCGAGCCACCGTTGCAACTTGCCAGCTTTTAATAATACATATATTTTAAAAGTTTGACTTCAAATTTTTGTTTCACAGATTTTCAATTTTGTTTTTCTTATTTCCTAATCCGAAATATTCGTTTCGAACGAGTGTCACAATCAATTTCACTTTGGTTGCCAAAGAATTTTCACAATTTGGAGTAAAAGAGTGGCAGAAACTTAAGCATATACATA